TGTGTCTGATAAGTCTGTACTCTCCAAAAATGAGATGTATGTAGGAAAGGGTTACCTTAGTGATGGTTTATTCAAGTTGAATGTAATGACTGTTGTACCCAATGATGTTATGAATAAAGTTGTTTCTGATTATGTGCTTGAGTCTCCTAATTTATGGCATGCTAGACTAGGACATGTTAATTATAAGTCAATAAAGAAATTAATAAACATGGGGTTATTTCCAAAATTCGACTGTCCAAGTGAAAAATGCTAAGTGTGTGTTGAATCTAAATTCTCTAAGCCTCTTTTTCATTCTATAGATAATAGAATCACAGAACCTTTAGATTGAATACACACAGACCTTTGTGATTTCAAAACAATACCGTCAAGAGGTGGGAAGAAGTATTTTATAACATTTATAGATGACTGCTCAAGGTATTGTTATGTTTCTTTGCTTAGTAGCAAAGATGAGAATGTGAATGCTTTTAGAACTTATAAGTCCGAAGTTGAAACTCAGTTAAATAAGAAAATTAAAATGATAAGAAGTGACAGAGGAGGTGAATATGAATTTCCTTTTGAAGAAATTTGTTTTGAGTTTGGTATTATTCACCAAATAACTCCTCCTTATGCGCCACAAGCTAACGGAGTGGCGGAAAGGAAAAACCGGTCTTTAAAGGAAACAATGAATGCATTGTTGAATAGTTTCGGTTTACCACAGAATTTGTGGGGGGAAGCTGTTTTGATGGAAAATTTTATCTTTAATAGAATACCCCACAGAAAGACACAACAAACACCCTATGAGAAGTGGAAAGGCAGAACGCCTAATTTGAAATATCTCAAAGTGTGGGGGTGCTTAGCTAAGGCTGCGATTCCTAAACCTAAAAAGGTTAAAATAGGACCGAAAACCGTTGATTTTCTTTATTGGATATGCTATTAATAGTAATGCATATCGATTTCTTGTTCATAAGTCTGAGGTCCCAGATATACATGTTAATACGATCATTGAGTCAAGGGACGCTTCGTTCTTTGAAAATATATTTCCGTATAACATAGTATATTAGCCAATTAATAATGATAAGAGGCCTCGGGATACTACACCTAGCAGCGGCAATCCTATAGAGGATGAACCTAGACGTAGTAAAAGACAAAGAACTTCTAAGTCCTTTGGAAATGATTTTCTAACATATTTGTTAGAGAATGAGCCTCGGACCTTTAAAGAGGCCGTGACATCCCCAGAAGCCCCGTTCTGGAAAGAAGCTATCAATAGTGAAGTTGAATCCATCTTGTCAAACCATACATGGGAATTGGTTGACCTTCCTCCTCGTAATAAACCACTACAATGTAAGTGGATTTTTAAGAGGAAAATGAAAACGGATGGTACTATTGATAAATATAAGGCTAGGCTTGTGGTAAAAGAATACAAGCAACGATAAGGCCTTGATTATTTTGATACTTACTCACCTGTTACTAGAATTACATCTATAAGGATGCTAATTGCCATAGCAGCGGTGTATAGGCTTGATATCCATCAAATGGATGTTAAAACGGCTTTCTTAAACGGGGATTTGGAAGAAGAAATATATTTGGAACAACCCGAAAAGTTCATTGTTCCAGGACAAGAGAAGAAAGTATGTCGGCTTATCAAGTCACTCTATGGATTGAAACAAGCACCAAAACAATGGCATGCTAAATTCGACCAAGTCATGTTGTCGAATGATTTTAAGATTAATGAGTGTGATAAATGTGTATATGTTAAGAACACTCATAATGGTTTTGCCATTTTGTGCTTATATGTAGACGATATGCTTATAATGGGCAGCGATAGTGAGGTTGTTAAGGCGACCAAACGCATGCTCACAAGTAAATTTGATATGAAAGATATAGGGGTTACAAATGTTATTTTAGGAGTTAAAATCCATAAGACATCTTGTGACATCCTGAAAATTTGTCCATTTGGAATTTGTGAAATATTTGGTTTTATAAATGTACTCGTAGTTAGTTTTCACCCGGAACTGATCATTCCTGGGATACTAACCAGTAGGGAAAGGCTAATTAGGAATTTAAATTCGTGCGACTAAAGAAAATTCGACCGTGGACTGACTTTCGACCATGAAATCGTCGATGTGATATTTTGAGCCACTGTTGACCGATCCAATGATAGCCAGGGGTCAGCTCGCCACTATCATAGTAGTGGATCGCGGGTGATTCCGCCGGACCGCGAAATGACTTGACGAATGATCATGAACCTATACCAAACGATCATGCCCCTTGGATCTAGTAATTGATCCTCGCGATTTTAATGACAACCGAAGTCGTCACGAACTGAATGAACTTGCATGTGACCTGAATAATTGTCAGTCATAGGTCGAATACGCGAATTTCCCCATCAAGCCGCCCGTTAGTTTGAGAAATGCTCGAGTTGCGTTTAATAAAATTTAATTATTGAATTGAGCCCAAATTGGACATCGGACAAATTTGAAAGTCACAACGGGACGTTAGGACGACGTTACGGATGGAACGTGCAATTTTGGATTGTCCCGATTCCTTCAGAAAAATTCGATTTCGATGAGAAATGAGGAAAGTGACCATTTTACCCTAAGAGTTTGTAAAGGGCATGTTTTATGGAAGAAGGGCGTTTTGGTCATTTTGCCCTAACTTTTTGGAATGGACAATTTTGCCCTTGAAATTTTATGAAATTCCCAAATTGCCCTTGGATATTTTGGGTAAGATGCGATCTCGGCCGTCGATTTTAAGATAAGATCGAATCTAGACCGTCGATTTGGTTTATGAGAGAGGGGCAAGATTGTAAATTGCCACTTTGGTCCAAATTGCATTATTTGAGTCAAGACCCATTTTCTCTCTCTCTTAATTTCCTCTCTCTCTCCTTCGGCAGCCCCCTTCCCACCGAGAGCTCTCTCTCCCTTGGCCGAGCCTTGCCGCGCCGCCGCCGTCGCCGTTTAGCCAATCACCGCACGGACCGCCGTGAGCCGCCGATCAGCCGATCCCCCTTTCCACTCTAGCCGAGTTAGCCTAGAGTTCGGGTAAGTCGCAATCTAACCCTCGCCTAGGACATCGGGTATTATCGGACTCGTTTAGGCGCGGTTTAGTCGATTTTAGGAGTTGATTGAGGTAATTATAGGTAGATTAGAGGAGAGCTTGATCTTTCATTGTGTTCTTGGATATCCTTGTGGCTGTTGGATGGTAGTTTGAGCATTGTGGAGTGAATTTTGTGGGTTGAAATTTGGTGGATATTAACTAAGGCTCGGATCTTTGAAATTTGAGGTGAATTTCTGATTCGCGGTTACTGTACCCTCCCGGTTTACTATTTTTGTGGAGATTTTTGGAGGCCGAATCAGGGGTGGTGTCCTTCACGAAATTTTTTCCTCACATCCTGAAGTATAACATATTTTAAATTTGAAATTTTTGGAGGTCATTTGGGTCTCACGAAAACCCATTTTCAGACCGTGTTGAAAATGCCCGGAATACTGTTCATCCGACCTTCGTGTCTTGCTGAATTTTTATAAAATTTTCCAGATCTATTTTTAATAAACTTCCTTCACAAAAGTTGTTGGCGACTTTCATTTGTAGGACATATAAAAATTTCAAAGATTTTTAAGGTGATTTGGTTATTGAAAGAAATGTATTTTGAGGATAAAACGGTCTGTTAGAGCGAATTGATTTTCATCTGACTTCAAGTGACCAAAAGAGGTATTTATAGTTGGAACTGGGTTTCGAGTTCTCATAGAAAATGTTTACCAAGATGTTTTACGCAACATATCCAAATTTCAGAATTTTTGGAGTTCGTTTACTATTTATTTGAATGGGATTTCGGTCACTGTGTAAACTGCCCAATTTTGCCCCGATTCTTTGGATGTTCGTTTTTATGAGCGGAATGGTGGGGGTGTCGAGGTTGAATAGTTGCTGCTCTTGTGACGGGAATTGATCCTAAATGTGTGTTTGTATGTGGATGGTGTGTTTGTAAAGTGGTTGTAGTTGTTGGTTGATTTCTGAATGATTGTTGGGCTGAATATTGAGTGGCCGTGTGCCCTGTGTGTATGGCCGTGAGGTGTGTGGTGTGATTGCGAAATGAGCTCACGTGTCAAGCATGTGTGATTGTGTGGTGTTTGTGTGGCAAGGATGTGCATTTGCGAAGTGAGTGTGAGGCGTGAGATTGTGTGTGGCCATGTGTACGTGTGGCCGTGTGATACGTATGAAATGAGTGGAACGAAGGTACGAGAATGTAGGATTGGTTGGAAAAGTGATACCCTGAGGCGTGTTCGTTTACGCGGGGTAAGTTCCGTCCTGAGGCGTGTTCGTTTACGCGGGACGATGCCGTCCCTGACGAGGTGACGATGCCCGGCCCGACGGGGTGACGATGCCTGACGAGGTCAGAAGACCGTTGGCCTGATGCGTTTTACGCGGGCGCGGTAGAGAAGGAAAGTTGAGAATGTAGGATTCCGTCCTGAGGCGTGCTCGTTTACGCGGGACGATGCCGTCCCTGACGAGGTGACGATGCCCGGCCCAACGGTATGACGATGCCTGACGAGGTCAGAAGACCGTTGGCCTGATGCGTTTTACGGGGGCGCGGTAGTGGTGGAAAAGTTGAGAGTGAGCCGGATTTGGTTTGACGCGTGAGGTTTGTTAAAGTCGACGCATGGCGTGAGTTAGTGTGTGAGTATGATTTGCCTCGCGTGATATGGTGTTGGATGAGTATGGATATAAATGAATTGGCTGTATTATTGTTTGACATGTAGGGATGTGCATGATGGATCCCAGGTAGGATCGCATGTGAATGTTAGTACGATTGTGTGGACGTTGTTTGTGTGTTGCTTGTTTCGGTGTCTGGACTTGTCTGGAATACGTGGTAGCCTAGGTAAGGTTTAGGTTGTGAACTTATTGAGAAGTGTCTCATGGTTATTTCAACCAAACCATTTTAGAGCACCCGCCCGAGCCATGAACCTTCTGCCGCCGCCGCTGCAACGTATTTGGGATTGTTATGCGTACTAATCTTGATGTGGTAGAATTCCCGATCGAGATTGAGGCCGATTCGGAGTCTGTGGATGAGCACGAGCTTGATGAGGATGATGAGGAGGATTCAGGCGAGGACGATGAGGAGAGCGAGTCTAAGTGGACCCTAGCAGAGGGCGTATGAGTTAGTCGTCAGAGTTGGTAGTGATCCATTTTTGGTATAGTGCTGACCCAATAGCCTACTGATCCTTTTTGATATCGGTGGTATATAGTTTAGATATTCAACGTGCATGTAAATTATATTTTGTGGTTTGAATGGTGGATATTGTAAATATTTGAGGAAGTGTAATATTAAGTTTGGTGGTTTAGTAATTTGCTTCTCCCTGGTTCTCTAATATTATTGTCCGGGATAATATGATTTGTTTCCGCCGCGAATTTACTCTGATGGGAAATTTGGGTCGGCGACGTTTTCCTGGGACGTCGCACTAATTCGACCGAAGAGGGATGTCGCGAGCTTGATGGGGTTTGGGACGTGACACATCTGGAGGATTAGCTCTATCACAGTCCCATTATATTGAGACGATTCTTGGAAAGTGCAAGAATCTAGACATTGTACCAGTAAAGACTCCGATAGATGTTAATTTACATCTTTCAAGGAATACTGGTGAAAGCAAAGCTCAAAATGAGTATGCTAGTATACTAGGTAGTCTAATATATGTCATGAACTGTACTTGGCCAGACATAGCTTGTGCTGTGAGCAAGCTAAGTCGATTTACAATTAGTCCAAATGAAAATCATTGGAAAGCTATGAAACGTGTATTGGGCTATTTGAAGCACACTCAAAATTATGCTTTGCACTACACAGAGTATCCAGCAGTACTTGAAGGATATTGTGATGCAAATTGGATAATCGGCACAAGAGACACAAAATTCACAAGTGGGTATGTGTTTATACTTGGTGGGGGAGCAGTGTCTTGGAAGTCATCCAAACAAACTTGTATTGCAAGGTCTACTATGGAAGCAGAATTCATTGCTTTGGATAAGGCCGGTGAAGAAGCTGAGTGGCTTCGAAATTTTCTAGAAGACATTCCTAATTGGTTTAAACCAATGCCAGCTGTGTGTATTCATTGTGATAGTCAAGCGGTACTAGGTAGGGCAAGGAATGTCATGTATAACGGAAAGTCCCGACATATACGTCGAAGACACGATACTATAAGACAACTACTCTCTAGTGGAATTATCACGATTGACTATGTAAAGTCAAAAGATAATGTTGCAGATCCATTAACAAAAGGCCTAACTAGAGAAATGGTTGTAAAAACATCAAGGGGAATGGGTTTAAGGCCTATAAAATAAGTCATCATAGCGGAAACCCTACCTAGTTGACTGGAGATCCCAAGATCTAGGTTCAAAGGGACAACCAAGTTATGCAGGCGGAGTAGTGTACTTCAACTCTTACTCATTCCCGTATAGAGACAGTACTAACATGTAGAGGTTAAGTGTAAGCTTTTAATGATTCTGATTCGGGTACGTAATATACCACACAATCAGAATCACCTATGTGAGTGTGAAGTGAGGGCCGCTTCTATGAAGAATTTGAAAGGTCAAATTCTTCAAAGCACTCATGAAACCAGGCGGTGTTCATGACCAAAACGGACACAACAGTGAGAACCAACTTTGTTTGAGAGATAATTGTGTGATTTTTATTGTCTTGACTTACACGAAAGGTCGATAGTTCAAAGACATCAAGTCTACTGATTGACCGAGTAAGTCCGATAGGTCTCACTAGGGAAAGTTCAAAGCCTTAGACTACTTATCCCAATGCAACGTTCTCTCATGGAATAATCGCACATTGCATCTCATGTATACACGAAGAGTCATGATATCTGAACTTCTCATTTATGTGGGGGATTGTTGGAATTTTAGTATAAAAAATTCATAAATTGTGAATGAGAAGTGTGGATGGAAATAGTCCCACTTTTGTGGAAGGGAAAGGACCTACGCCAAGCTAGGTTGGTCCCCCCCCGCGCGCGCCACCGCCGCCGTCCGTTCGGCTGGCTCGGCTCGGCTCGGCTCGAGCCCGGGTCCATTCTATTGGTTTTATTTTTTCCCAAACAGACACGTTTTGTTAGAAATTATTTATTTATTTATTTTTGGACAAACAAACATGTCTGTTCGTGAGGTTCGGTTCAAGTCGCGATTGTTCATGACCCGAACGAAGAACCGCTTCGGTTCAAGTCGCGACTGTTCACGGCCCGAACGAAAAACCACTTCGGTTCAAACGAGTCTTCATTGCTCGCAACTCTTCATTTTCGCCATATATATAACCGAGCTGTTTAGTTCGGTCTAGTGACTCTTCGTGGCATTTTATTCCTGCGAGACTCTTTTCCCGACGCACTCTAGCCATTTTCATTTTTCCGTTTGTTCATCATTGTCATTTGTGTGATTATTCTGCGAAGTTGCGTTCGAACATTTCCTTTTAAGAAGTACCGCTTTTTTGGAAAGGCGATCCGTTCTATCCTGGGAGACAATTGTTCAACAACCTTGGGTACCGGTAGAGGGGACAAATTGTCTTAAGGACACAACGTGAATTTGTTGGGCTCGGATCATTCTTCAAATTTGGATTACTCATTTCAGGTTTGTCGAACAACTTTATTTTGCATATACAAGCACTATTACTTCACAACAAGTTATAATAACCCTCAATAAGTCAGAATGTGAATGAAAGTTATTTTTACTTAACGCTTAGGGTGTGACTTTATTTCCGTGACAATTTGGGAGCAAGGTCCTCCTATTGTAATGAAAGGTTTGTCGAAGAAAGAGATATCTTCCAGTAAAAAAGAAAAAATTCCCCCATCCAAGTCACTGAGGATCTCTAGTGTAGAGAAAATCGAGGTTGAATATTCTTTGGAGGAATCATACAACAACCTCAAGAACATTTGCGGTAGGATATGGGCGGCACTAGGTTTTTTCTTTTGAAGCAAACTTTTTGGCTTAATAGAAACATTAGTTGCTTATATCTAATTATTTATTTGATTGTCTTTATGGAAGGCGAAGAATGGAAGGCATATTTGAAGTCAAGCAATGAGAATGACGATGATGCATCTAGTGACGAAGAGACTTAGTGAAAAAACTTGGACAAACAGCTCAAGCATCCATAGTTTAAGAGAAGAGCCTAAGATGACATCCACGACTTCAAATGTTTCTTCTCTAATATCTTATTTGATTCTATTTGTAAAACTGGTGAAAGTAAAGTCATTTCATTTAATCAAACTTGTTCGGTAATATCTGGTTTGTTTGAACTATGAAACATAAAGCCTGTTTGTTAGCCGGTAATGGGGAAGGTGGAATGGTATTCGAGCTTTGATTTTCTTTCTTTCTGTTGTTCGCGACTTATATTTTTATATGTATCTATATATTTATATGTCTTGTGCATCCATATTTGTTTCATGAGTATGTAGAATTATGGAATGTATGTACGCAAGAATATATTTTTGCGGATGACAAAATTGAAATTGGTCAATTGTTGCCTTTTTGCTAAGATATACCGGAAGAACTTTGCATAGTTCGATGTATGAGTCATTATCTATTATTCGTTATTCGTTGGACAATAACACTAAGGACAGTTGTTTGAAATGCCAAACCTTCATTAGGTTTTGTAACTAATTTGGCCGCTAATTCTGTTATGGTAAACATTATTAATATATACCGATCTCATTTTCTTTAATTGTGTTACTAGAGTTCATTGTTCTCTAGGAAGTGTCATATCGCCTCCTTCACTATAAAGATAAGTGCCATGTACTTTACTTTAATTTTCTTTATTGATTTGAGAATGTTTGTCCATGAGATATCATCTAGCTACAATGAGGCCACTAATAGGTCTAACGGAGCTGCATATTGTACATGATCAAATCAGAGGCGTTGGCTTGCGCCTCATTCTACTCCCGCTTGAGCTGCTCGATCTTATGCTCAGAAGGCTTCATGGGTAGGCTTCACTGCCATCTCCGGCACCGAGGGTAAGCATTCGGGGTTAACCTTGCGGTTGATGCACTCTAAGGATGCATGATGTTCCTCCCTGTCCGCTTCCATATCTCTGGCGTGGGTAATCATCTGCGGGCTCAGTCGTGCCAAGCATTCTCGATGTAGTCCACATTCCTTTGGTAATACTTTGATTGGGATTCGTCAAGGCTCTTATGGATGAGGTCCAATTGGACTTGATCCGACCTTAGAATACGCGAGATTTCTTGATGATCATTGTACTGTTGGATAAGCCGTGGGGATAATAGGATGTGCACCCCGTGAATCCCACTAACAGGATTGGGTTATCTGACTTATAAGTAAGACCCACCGCATTATCGAGCCCACCATAAGTGCCATGAGACTTCTTTAGGAGTGATTTTTTTTTTAATAATTAACCATTCAGAAAAATAAATCTTTTCGGAACAAATTTGGCCTTTTGCAATAACTTTTTAATGGGATAATTGTGGCCACTAATCTCATGTATGCCCATGCCAAGACCAGATTCTTTGTTGTGGGAAAGGAACCATAGTTGGGAAGTGTAACAGGTGCATGTAAACTTCATTCCTTATTCTGCTTCAAACGGGTGAGAGAGAGGAAAGTCTCCGAGTTGATGCCAGAACACACTTGTCTAAATTGATATGCAACTAATGGGTTGACTGCATTCCTAGTATGAGGAATAATTGCGAAACCAAAATAAACTGAGATAAAGACCCTAGCGGATTGAGTGGACAAGTATTATTATGGGATTTCAAAACCTTTTCCATCTCAATTTCAATTCTAAAAAAATTATGATAATTCAATTTAGATATTTACAAATTGACATTTGATGTGTCCCATAGGCCGGTCCAAATGCTTTCATCTCATCCGATGAAGGGCCCATAAGAAATACACCAGTAAATTTTTACCTTTTCCCCTTCTTATTCTTTTTTATTTATCTTTTTTCCTTTCTGTTTTTTTCTTTTCCCTTTTACCCCGAAGGACTCCACCATCACCATCTGCACATGCACGTATCTGTCACCACACAACGTCTCCCCATGAACGCTCGTGCTCCATCGCCTCGCCATCCTCGTCACTGTGGTTGACCCGCCATCCACCACGACCATCTTACAGCACCCGGCCTCCTCTCTCTCTCTCTCTCTCTCTCTCTCTCTCTCTGTGCAACTC